AAAATGTTGCAATATTGGAGTTCAATGCTACGATCAGGAAAATACAAACCAGCCGGTGCATGCTCCGATCGACCGCCTTTATTATAGATTTCACACGTTATTCAGAGCTCACACCAATACCTTCTCAACTTGAATCCTATGCAGCCCTCAAAACAGTACAAAAAGTCGCCAAGAGCAAAGTTTAGCTCGATACATTGCGCTCAAAGCAACTGCGCGATGAATCGAACGAGGTCAACAAGCAACTTCTCGGAGATTAAGATTAAAAGACCGTTGACCCGGTTGGCCGTAGATGGCGCAGCTCATTAACAATAACCAATCACGATCGATTCCCGAGCCGCTGCAGATCAACAGTTAAAATTGCTGGTTATTTTCTGATTAAAAATAAAAAAACACTCTCACGTGGCAATGTTTATGTCCAATTGTCTAATTTGCATGAGTAATCAAATAACAGGACCTTTGATTGACAATATGCAAATCGAGATTGTACGGGTCATAGTTCATTCAATTCACGCGCATGTGCAATTATTCTCAAATCAGTTATCGCTCGCTAGCAAACCAAACATTATATTTCCTCAGCGTTTTTTCCTAATTTGTATCATTAAATTATGCGTGGTGTGAAAAGAAAGAGAGGTAGAACGAAGATTCAGATGATTTCTATGTCGGAAGAGGCAAAAGCTACACTGAAGGCATCAGCCCGCCGAACGAAAAACAAAATCGATGTGAGCGTCCAAACGTGACTTTCCCTGAAGGCGTGAATCCGAGTTTCTGATTGACTGAGAGATTTTATTTTTAAATAATTGTTCACAAAAAATAAACTGAGCATGTGAAGAATAATTTAACATTGTTTACAGTCAGGCCCGTAGTTTGGGGGGGGGGGGGTTCGGTCGAACCTCCTAAATTTTGGAAGTGAATAGATATGTGATCGTAGATTAGAACATAATAAAACAAACAGTATTTTTTCAAATAATTATCATTGTTTAAATCACTTGACTCAGTGAGGTAACTATCAGACTCGGTCGAAATTGCATAGTAATGA